TATACGTGAACTTTTTTTTCTCACTTTAGTGAGCTGAATCTCCACTAGTAGAAGTTCGGCCCACATATTCTAAAACACTCTGCATGTAAAGTTTCTTTTGTTAACTCGACCGGCCAAGAAAAATTATTATCCTTATCACTTGTACACAGCGCCTCGGGAAATACTGCGACGCGACAGTTCTATTTGCTTTTTTAATTTTTATCTCGCGAATAAGATACATATAAGAGCTAGAAATGAACGAATGAAAAAGGAAAAAAAAAAATGAAACTTGAGAACGAAGAGCAAGATCTGCATCAAGGTTTTACGTAACTTGCATGTAATTCCACGTTTCGCGAGGATCGTACGAATAATTGTTAGTTCGCAAGTACGGATTTTTTCTCGTACGAGAGAACATTCTCTCATTGTCAGTATTGTTTGTCTTGTTCCTTGGATAACTCGAATCGTGAATTAATATCCTATTTAACACTAAACGTATCGACGCTTTATGCATACGTACTTATTTTTAACGTAGCTAGTTGTAAAATAAAGATCGTCTTTTACATATTTTATAAGTACAAACTTAAATTTGTCGATTTAACCCATTTGCATCGTGAAGTGAGGTCATAAGACGCGGAATAATTCGCAAGCAGCAATTAAGAGTCTTATATTTTTTTAATATATAGAAGATTTAACTAGCTGCTCATTAAAAATTGCATTATACCATGCAAATATCCTTTAATATTAAAATTCTCAATCGACGAAACGATTTAATCATTATTTTTAATAATATTTTAAATAGCAAAAAGTTACTTTGACGATGTTTTTTTAATATTCTAATAATTATGTTACAATGATCGTATAATGATGACTAAACTGTTCCATTGACTGAAGTCAAAAAGTCTTTTTATCAAAGAAGAAAGAATGTTTTCATAGCAGAAAAATTATTCTTAATCGAAAGTAACTTACGCTGATTAGATTACGAACTCTCCGCATAATATTATGTATTCTGACATTTCATCACAATTAGCTGGCATTAATAGAGAATAATAAACATTTTTAAATCGAGATTTGGTAAATTATAATACACGTGGACATGTTACAAATGGGTTAATCTAAGAAAATAACTAATACACAATAAGATTTAATATAAAAAAATTACATATTAGTCTTCTTTTTAACAAGAGTCGAATGAAGAAAAGAGATAACAGTGAATGCGGAATTTTAGGTCAAACTTTTTTTAAACCGTTGCGGCGATACGTTTAATGTGTGATATACAACTTAGCGCATCAAACGTGGAACGTGTGCGGAAAAACGATGGAAAATCGTCGTTTAAAAATTCAACACTGTTCAAGTTTCCTTCATCTCGCGACGAACAATACCTGCTAGGCGTTTCATAGTTCTCTGCTGTCCGGCGTCTTGATTGTTTTCACGTTATTTAAACTGTATACACACGGTATAATGGCAAATTCTAATCGCACGTTGCCGCGCGAGGTGAATTCAAACGAGAACACCTTCGGCATCGAGTTCGCGTGGGCGAAGCGCGAGCCCGATCGGACGTGAGTTAGGTATCTTTTCCTGGTTAGCCTTGCTAACCACCTGTTCCATCCTTAACCACGACTTACGCTTTGCTGCCTCGTACGTTCCAACGCAAACAGAACACGTTTAATGCTTAATCGGTTAATCGGTAATTCGACAACGAATCTATCATTCAGACATATACACACAGATACGCTCGGGTCGTTTCAACTTTCTTTTGGAACTGGCGTTCAATCATCATTCTATCTCTCTCTCTCTCTCTCTCTCTCTCTTTTTCTCTCTATTCTGGCTTTATCGTACGCTTCCTGTCCGATCGTTCGACGTGAAGAACATCGATAAGACGAGTTTCTCGTTATCAATCGCGACACACAGCTCTCTCGAGGAAGACTAGCCTTTTTCCGAGCAAGGTCGCAAATTATGAAATGAAAATCCGCTCGTCGCATGACGTCAGCGTCGGTGATCGAGAGCTCTGCTTTGTCGGAGGATATTGAACGATCTTGTTGGGACTTACGCGAATTGACTACAACGTAAACGCACTTTGGGAAAAATTTTCGATCTCAAAACATATAACTCTTTCGTATAATTCTTGAACGATATCTAGACTAGTATACATGTATTAGTTGAGTATACTGTATTAGTCATACGAACAATGTAACTTGGCCGAAATAATTCAGTGCAGGAGAGATTTCAATTCTACAAAATCTGTACGAATCGTACGAAAGACGATTGTTCTTGTAAATTTGTCTTTCGCGCGTGAATTTTACAAAATTGAACTTCAAATATTTACTAAATATAAATGATCTTTCGACGTATATAAGTTAGTACTCTTTTTCGTAAAGGATTAATGGAGCAAAAAATGTATCATTCCATTTAAAAAAAAAAAAAAAAAATGAAAGTGGACTTTGAAACGACATTGAGCCTTTCCATCTACAGAAAAATCTCTGTGCTGACTAATTTTTGTTAATAAAGTTCTTTCATATCTCCGAAAACGATGAAAGTATTCAAGGTGATCAAGTTTACGTTGTTCAGCCTGTACATGTACTACATATGTTGATCTTAAACGTTCTTAATTCTAGACTAGTCTTGTCCAATTTTTTCACATGCATGATTACACAAGCTATAAACAACAACACTAATTTACTACGATTTTTGCAATTAAATATAAACGCTCGTGCTTCTTCTTATATAGCTCTGATGTTTTTAGAACGATTTTTCTTTACGAAGAAAGAGCTAAAACGTTTAATGTTTAAACAAAAAAAAAACAATTGAAAACTAATAAAAACCGCTGCGATTACTTGAATTAACTTTTTTTCGGTTTCATGTAAAATATTCTTTGATCCAAATTGAGTCGAGCCTGTTGTATGGACTGAATTTATACGCGATCGGCTATATTATTTTTGTCCCCGACTATAGTCAGACTCGAATGTTTTAAACTCTAATCTTGGTATATTATTACTAAATCGATAATTTAAAAAAAATAGATGATTTTTATCAGATTTTTTAAAAATAAGTGATGAAATAATAGTTAGATAAAGGAGCATCGACACGTGTTATTCCTTGAAAGCCGCGCCTCTATCAACTTTCACTGTATTATTCGTGTTATCTCTATCGTTTCTTACTATCTTCTATTTCAGTTTAAAAAAAAAAAAAAAAAAAAAAAAAAAAATTCGATTAACCTCTAACCGATGTAGGAGCCATAAGATTGGATATTAGAAGCCACGAAAAATTTAGATTTCACAGTTCTCAGTTTTGGAATTTTTAATTCGATTTAATTGTATGTATTAATATTGTATGTATTCTAATCTTTATTAGAGAGATAGAGACACTTTATAAACTGCTCCATACGATACTACTCCAATATTCATTCCGGCACCAGAACTACACTCCAGCATATACTCTCATTAACATCTAGCTTTCTTACTTCCATATTTCGATACAAATGATAAAAGGAACTCAATTGTCACGTTACACCAATTCGTTTCGTATACCCACAGACATATTCTATCTATACTCAGTACATTTTATTTCTACACACATACTCTGAAAAGGACGTCGCCTCCTTTAAGTCAGATTAAATTAGATTAAATTTTAAATTAAAATAGGAAAGAAAATTGAATACTTTAAATGTTATACAAATTACTGTATAATCTATGATCCCACTTGAAGGTTAATACAGAGTATTATGAACAATTACGAGAAGCACCTCATCGAGTCAGAGCTCTGTGCCAACGCAAATATATTTTTCTTGGCGCGGCCGTGTTGGAGATTCTCGCAAACTCGGGCGTCGGAATCCAGCTCGAGTTAGGTAGATGGTATCGCTTATCAGCATCTACCGCTGATAACGGTCTAACGAAGTCAAGTTGGCCGGTCGAGCGCTTATCGTTGGGGGGAAATGGACCCAGTTGTTCGTAACCGGCCGTTGACGCGCAACCTCGCGCCGTTCGTTTTCATTTTTCTCGACGATCGATCCGTCTGTGCTTTCTCGCCAAACTGTGTGTCACTCCGCCGCGCCGAATGTGCCTTCAAATCTGGACGATCGACCGACTCTTCCGATGATCGCGCGTAATTTCCAACGATAACGATTGATATAATATTGATCGGCTGAAAAACTTGCGATCATCCCTCGACGTTTCTTTGTTGTACGCTGTAGCTCGAGATTCGTTGCTTTCATTTTCCTTTTTTTTTTTTTTTCTTTTTGTCTCTTCTCTTCTCCTTTCTTGCCCACTCGCGTTGATAACGCGTAAAGGTGTGTACACATTTGTCACCGTAACTTGCTCCGTTATCGTTACCCAATGTGTTCGCGGTGAAAAATAAAGACTGTTACTGTGCATTGTTAGCTAATAAAATTATTCGGGAAAGCGACCTGCTCCATAAGAAATATTAATAAATACCAATATATTATATTACGTAATATTAAAAAATTGTTTATTATTAAATTTTTATCTATAATCCGAGATGTATCGTTACCTCTTCGCAACGAAACAACAGCGGATAACTGTGAACGCAGATATTGTTCGACAGATTTACAGACAGGTACTGCGAATCGAATCTCGTTACAACCGAACAAAATAACACAGAGTGTGCAAGATTAAGTAACAAATGTGTACGCAGTCTAAAAGTTTGCCAATGTCTTCGCAGGTTTGTACGAGAAATCGGTAGTACGGTTTCCAGATATCGCGCCGCCATCGAGGCCAACCGCGAGATTACCGCAAACGGTAAAGAGAGACGCGTTCAGTTTCTTATCGCAATTACTAACCCGCAATCGAAACGATTCCAACTTTTCCATCGGACACAACCCGATCCGCGTGTGTCGCTGTGACGAATTCCTCCGTTCTTCGAGTGTTTCACCTGCGCATTTCATACACAATTTCCATCGAAATCTTTATCCGATTGATTCCAATTATCGCGTTCACGGCGAACAGAAGAACGTGCGTGTTCGTGCGGTATTCGAACGCGATAAGTCACCGAAAAAATAAACTCGAAGATCGACGAATCAACACCTTGGAAACACGCGTGCGTGGCACGTCTTTATCAGTCGGTATGGCGCTGTTTGAGTGCGGTGTTTCAACATCGTCGCGTTCGTCATTCCGGTGCCTATCACTTCTGTTTCTCGTTGATTGTTTTTCACCTCCGTTTCTCCCTCGTTCCCCCCCTATCCCTTTCGTATGTACGCCGACATCCTCTATCGTCGATCTCTAACAATGTACAGAAAGCTTACACGTTCACACACGCAAATTCGTCGAAGGCGTAATCACTGTCGCTGTTCGGTCTTTCGAACGATCGAGACCGCTTGCGCTCGCGTGTTGAACAACACGAGTCGAAGTCACGGGTACTTGGCAAAATCTCCAATCCATCGAGCCAAGGTGAAACAATCACGGATCACGGTTCGCCGTTTTTTGAGCTTACCCGCTCCCTCATTAGTCAACTGTGCCTATTACGCGTCGCTGCTTTTTTTTTTTTTTTCTTCCTGCTTATCGATACTTCTGTCTACACATATGTACGTGTCATTGTTGCCAACAACGAGAGAGAGAAAGGTGTAAAGACCGAGGGCGAGGGATGATCGGCTGGATCGTGTCCTCGGCGCCTCGTTCCCTCGTTCCTCTCGTGCTCCCGGGGTTTTGGGTAATCTAAGTGTGAAAACGTGTCAAGAGTGATAATCGTCCCTTCGTCGGCGAGAGGATCGTCGTCCCAGCGAAGCGATCAGCGGCACCTTAACGAGGATAACGCATGTTTTTCTAACAGAGAACGACGAGCGAGCTGCCAAACTGCTGCCTACGGACGCCGTACTACTCGGTCGATGAAGGATCGTCCATGTTGAGGAATTACCACCGCTGCTCGACGTTCGAACGTTTCGCCAAAGTTTGCTGACGACAAAACTATCGAATCCCCGAGCAATCTTTTCTTTTCTTTTCTTTTCTTTTTTTTTTTTCTTTTTTCTTTTTTTTTTCGAAGTGACGCGTGCGAAGTTGATCGGAGACGCGCGTTCGAACCTTGAACTTCGTCGAGACCATGGAGGGTCGCGAAGGTCTGTTCTCGCGAAACGAACCGAGCAGAAGTTCGATTCGGCCGCAGAGTGGACGAAAGAGCCTCGAGACGGCGGAGAACAAGCAACGTCAGATGATCGGTGGATACCGAGGCGGAAACAGAGAATCGGCGAGCATTACCTCGCCCACTGCCAAGTACGTGGCGACAGCTCACACGCCGATGGACAATCTGAAGCAGTGGGAACTGGTGGAGTGCGATCGTCGCCTCCAGGTAATTGAGAAGAGGAGCGCCTCGTCCAAGGGCGAACGCACGCCGAGCTTCAACCGCAAGAACGCAACCCCGATCGCCGACAGAAAGATCCTCGCGATCGACGCGAGCCTCGAGGAGAAACTGAAGGCGTTCAAAGAGTCGAACATCATCCAGCCAGTCGTGGCGCCTCGCCGCGACGACGAGGCCAACCGAGTCCCGATTAATCTCGATCTGATCCTGAAGCAGCGAAAAGGCTCGGCCGTCGAGAGCACGGACATGCTTCAGCGATTGGAGCAGCAGGTCAAGGCCATCGAAATGGACACTCTCGCAGCCAGAACGCGCCAGTTGGAGTTCAGCTCGGATTTCGAGCCAGAAATTCGATACACGGACCTTCGGTACAGGGAACACGAGGATCTACTTCGAAACGTGACGGATGACGAAGCCGAGGGGTAACATTTTCTCTCTCTTCTCACACCGCCTGTCCAGTGTAATTCTTCCGCGCGTGTACGCTCCGCGGACGCGTGCTCTGCCCGGATACTCCATCCCCCTTTTGTCTCGTTTTCTTTCTTTCTTTTTTTTTTTTCTTTTTTTTTTTTTTACTTTGTTTACTTTTCAACTTTTGTTCGGCGATCATGCAGTTCAGCGATCTTTTACCAATTCTTGGTTGTTTCAGTGTTCAGGTTCTTTCGTTTTTCGTAAAGCTGGAATTCAGTTGGCTGTGAAAGATCGGGAAAGTAACTTTAGTTTAACGTTATTCAGATAGCAAAATTCAAAAGTTCCAAAACGAGGGTTGTTTTTCAAGATTTTCTTTAAAAAAAATTTACAATGAATAGTACCTATGTATGCGTTTATAAATTGAGCAGCTTGTATGCATCAGTATTGATTATCCGAACCCAATTCTTAGCCCACGTTCTAGAGTTTGAATGTTCCCGAAGGCAATATTTACGCGCAGGCGAAACCTGTTTTTGTTTCTTTTCACCAAATAAGAAGAATTCTTAACTGCACACTTTGCTCAAAGAAATAGCAAAAATCTTCTTCGATCTGCCCCGACTGATTGAAGCTTTGAAAAAATGAGTTGGAATGAAACAGCCAAAATCGGAGAAGATTACCGAACCACATATTTGCCAATCTTCTTTCTCTCTTATCCATATTAACCTTTTGTTCATTCTCGGTTCTTCTCCCTCCGAAACTATCCGATTCTCGATGATTCGTTCGCGTTGGAGGCACGCGTCGATCTAAAGTCATAAGAAAAAAAAAAAAAAAAAAAAAGAAAGAAAAGAAAAAAGGTAAACGAGAGAGTTTGGAATGACCACGATGAATTGAAATGAAAAGGGCCTCGCCGTTGCATCGAGGAGACGCGACGAGGAATTCGACGGGGAACGCGGGCGTTACGACGAAGAAAGCTTCGACCAAGTTGTCGAGGACAGCCTCGGACACGAGGCGGGGACAGGAAGCGGAAGTGCCCCTTCGAGCGCAGACGAGGGTGCAGCAAGCGCGCGCATTGGTCGCTGCGCGGGTCAACAACGCGAAGAAAGATCACCGGCATCAACAGCAACGACAAACCACTACGGTTAGCAGCGCGATCAAACCATTGTCAGACGTCACGCAGAAGAGTGGCGTAAATGAGAAGGAGGTAGATATTGTTTATAGTGTGGACGGCAATTAAATAGAACCTAGTAAGCTCTTTCGAGAAAGAAAAAAGAGAGAAAGAGTGAGAGAGAGAGAGAGAAAGAGAGAGGGTTGGGAGAAAGATAGAGAAAGAAGGGGAATGACACAAGCGTTCATCTTTTTTTTCTTTTTCTTTTTTTGGAACCTTTTCTTTTCGGCAGAAGTTTAGTAATTAGGATGACACGTTTATGTAGCGTGGCACGTCAATAGAGAAAGCTTGTCGCTGCAGGGGAACACGGTAGGAGATCTCAAATTGTTGGAAAGCTTCCATTCAAACGTTGTGGTCATTTTTAGAAAGGGGCCAATTTACGTTATTCGTGTGTTAGAACTAATGGACAAATCCCGAGACAAGAATTGTTTGATTCGGGTGATAGAATCAAACCACTTCTTTCATGTTAAATTACGTTAAATCGTTTGAGAATTTTTGTCTTTTCCTGGATATTAAAAATACCTAATTTCAATCTTTTATTATGGTACATTTTTCGTGGACTTCGAGAGAAGAATTATCTTTTGTTTCAGCATAAGAAGCTACTTCTTCATAATTTTCCTTGAAATTATCTATATGTATGACATATAGATAATTCCTCACTCACAAATGAAACGTACGTTTCATCGCCGGATTAAGCGATAAACGTAATCTCTATATATTTCACGTTTAAAATTTTGTATCTCGAATTTTAATGGAAGGATTTTAATGAAATTTTAAATTTTAATTTTTCAGTTATAGAAAACACGTCAAACATATAACGATGTGTATAAACTGTACACTTCGAACACCCACCGATAGGTTTCTCTAACGATGAGCTTTCCATTGATGTAACACATTCTTTGATTGGAGTTGTCCTAAGTACCGAATTACAGCCATCTTCTCTTTCTTTTTTCTTTCCTTTCCATTTTTCGTCTTTTCTTTCATATACTCTTTACTTCGAGCTACGACGTTAAGTCACTGCGAAATTCATACAAATCGAGCTATCAGGAATCGATAAAATACATATAACTCTTGGCTATTATATTAGGATCTAGACGCGATTTAACAATAAATTCTATCACAAACACATGAAAAACACATTGTGTATTGCATACATACATGTTACCAATTTCAATTCTCCTTTTCGCAATACAAAGTCAGCGACACTTCGTTTAATACTTGCGCACACGTTAAAAAATCCAAATTTGAGCAGTCGTTAATCTCTTTTAATTATATCTTACATTGTAAAAATGTAACATGTATGTATCATCACGTACTTTGATGAAACGTGCAATGAAATTCAAGTTAAATTTTTGTTAATAAACTAAAAACGTTTGTCTCTGATCTTGTCAAAAATACGTAAAACGTCGAAAATTCTAAATGATCCTGATTCAATGGCCAAGGACTGTAGATCTCGAAAGCTGTGCAATAACCGACGGTCGACAACGTCCGTCGTACACGTTCATCGACGTGGCCAGGATCCCCCAGCTGACCAGTCGAGTATAACAGGCACAGCAGCGTAAACGCATCCACATACACGCTCGTATCACGTACACGACGGCAGAGCCTGTAGCTCGTCCGTTTCAGCTAGTATGACGTGGATGGATTGGCTGCCTGCTCGCTCGTACGAGGGTGGTGTGTATCGTCTAACGATCGTGAGACCAGTCAAAGTCGATTTCCCCGACTTTTGCGTTACACGCTTTACCCCCCCTCCCCGACATGTCCTGTTTCTTATTATCATTTTTTTTATCCCCCCCCCCTCCCCCTTCCGTTCTTCCTCGAATCAAGCAGATTGGAAACCAGCGATCGGTGCCAAAATATTCTCGATATACCCGATACCCGGCTGATCTTTTTACGCGTTAAGCTTGGCTTGCCAAGCCCCACATTCGCGATGTTTAACGCGCGAATCATCGTATCTCGTTGCTATCTAATCCGCGTTACGTAACTCGCGCCGAACCTCCTCCCCTTTCGTTTCTTTCATCGTCTTTTCCTTGGATCGAATTCTAACGTCATGAATTCGGACGACGGCGGCGTCGGATCGAACGGTGTGATCAGCTGACGACGCGAGAACTTCGGTTTCGATCGCACGCCACGGAAAACGGGGGTGATTCGCGAAAGTTGTCAAGAGAGAAAGAGAGAGGGAGAGAGAAAGAGAGAGAGAGAGGGGTTGTTGGTAGTCGGGACAGCGATGGTACGTACTTCCGAGGCTGACGCATGCGCAGACGCGATCGTCGTTGGCATCGTCGCCGTGCTCATCGTCGTTTGTCGCCGTTGTCGCGGCCGTCGTCGTCGTCGTCGTAGTCGTCGTCGTCGTCGTCGTTGTCATCGTTGTCGTCTTCGTCGTCGTAGTAGTCATCGTAGTTGTCGTAGTCGTCATCGCCATGATCGCGATAGCGTAGCCTGATCATCGTGGCTGTGATTGTGATCTCGTTGCCCTGACGCGTCACGTTCGTGAACAATCGTGGAGAGAAGACGGTGAAGACGGAAGAGTTGGGAGAGCTCGATTACCAAGGGTGGTTCGTTTGCACGCTCAGCAGCAAGCAGGGGGTGGCGGCATTACGCGTATTGATTCTCCTTTCGCATCCCTCGGCTGTGTGGACTCCTCTGGCCGCTCGAGCGACTCTCTGTCCGCCGGCACAGGCAGAACTCGAGAGGGAGAGAAGAGAATAGCCGGAGGACGACCGTGCAACAAACCTCTCTCTGGACGTCTCGCGCGTCTCTCGCTTTTTTCGTCTGCTATTCGGCGTAGCGACGGCTTCGAGTTGGCTCTGTTGCCGACCGGGGGACGAGGATGCGGCTCGCTCGGTCCTCGCGCGACCTAACCCAGAGACGAAGGCCGCCAATTGTGATTAGTGACGTCAGACGCGTACGCGCTCGCGCTCGCGTTCGCGTTCGCGGCACGCCTCGGGGATCTTGTCTTCTTCAATCGTCCATCGCTTCGTTTCGACACGTTTAACGAATTCCCGGCTGGATCGACGCGGCGCACCAGCCACAGGGTGAGGAGGGAATCCACGTCCCTCGCGCTGTCGACGCGCACTCGTCTGCCTTTCCTCCGCTCTTCTTCGTTACCACCAATGGAGGAACTCGTCGTCGGTGAATTCACCACCGAAACGACAGTGCGAACAGCCGAGCTACTACCTCCTTCACTTTCCTCGTTGCTCCTGAACGATCGAACCTCCGATGCAGTACGCGCCGAATAGCGCGTCGAGTGAATACGTGACTCCCTGATTCGCGAACGACTCTTTCTGATTTCGATGTGCTTTCTCGACTGACTCGACTCGCGCGAGAGGAAGAGGAGATCGCAAACGATGTTTCGTTTCGTTTTTGGACACGCGCACGTAGTTACATGGCCACCGATCGGCAACCGTTCCAAACCTTCTTTCCTCCCTTCTGTCGTCGACGTTTTCGTTGAAAGTTTAACGTAATTTCCGTCGTTGCCTCGGGAAAAGTCTTTCGTCGTCTCCGATCGAGTTTCCGCAACACGGTTTAACTGAAGAAACGGGAAAGAACGTGAAAGAAAACGAGCGTGTGCCACGTATTATGCGATACGCAGGGATGCGACCCTCGCGGAAAGACGCTTGATGCACCTTTCGATCTTTGTGATGTTATGTGTGCGTGTTTTGTTCGATCTATGGATAAAGTGATGTGGATTCGGAATCGAAGAACGAGTATGGCCAGGAAGGAGAACGACGGAGAAACGAGAGATCCTCGTTCGGGTGTTCCGTTCGTTGAAACGCTTTTCTACTAACCCCCGAAGCAGCCGCTTGTTTTGATCGAGTCAGTCGCATAAAAGGGAAGGTGTTGCGAGCGAAACGTCTTCTCGATTCCACGTCGATTTTTCTTCGTACCGTTGCAGCCGAGAGCAAAACCGATCAAACTGGCGGCCTCGAAAGTTGCTGCAGCCTCCTCTTGCAAAATGGTCACCCGTGGCCATACGCGGGTAATTGACCTCACGTAAATTACAATTGCTCGCGAATATATTCGTACACTTGCCGTAGGGAAGCTTTTTTTATACTTGTGATTTGGATATATCTGTGTATATTCGTCGAATGTCAGAAATAAAACTAAATTAGAAATAAATTCGGTATTAAAGACGATTCCAAATTCAAGTAATTTACTTGACCGGAATCAGAACGATGTAATGAATTACTATTGCTATTACTAATTAATATTACCGATGAATCATTGAAATTTTCAACAATTTATGACAATTCTCTTTCAAATACCTTTTTAATGCTCTAGTACATTATTCTCTGTTGTAATATATTTTGTAAATTTTGTACGTTTGATTTCGATCGCTTAAAGTTGTTCGTATCTAAATAAAATAAACTACTAATAAAATAAGAACTAATAAAGAAATTATTCTATAAAATATTTTGATATTTTATCGTAATTGTAAGTATCAAAAGCAACTTGATAAATATATATAAAAGTTATAAGATGTGTTGTAAACATACATTTAATAATAAAGAATGTATAACATGAATAACCATATCTTAAGTATATAAGTATTTAATGAATAATAACTCTTTAGATACTTTTATGATTTTCACAAAACATATACTTGTAATAAATGTGTAGTAATTTCTGTGGATATTTTCAAAATCGCTAAAAATTTCACCAAATCGTGTAATCATGATAGTGTTCACAATAAAGTTTCTATAGTAAAGGTAACATGTTCATAAAAGTGTACGAATACATTCGCGAATCACTGAGTAGCTACATCTATATATTTTCAAACAATTTCAACGTTTGTTTCAAATGCAGTTCCATTGTTTAATTGGGTTTCAGATTTTCAAAGAAATGTCACAAAGGCAATCTGCTTTCAATGCGTTAAGAGCCAGCGTAAACGCAACATTCCATTTGCGATTTTTTTTTTTCTATCATTTTACGTATCAAGTTTGTTTCTTAATAATACTGTAATTATGAGATGCAATTTCGAGAATTCGTTTAACATTTTCTTCGCTGCCAGTTCTCCCTGGCAGGGTCTATGATTGCATAAAATTGGAAGAAATTGAAGTATTCTCAACGTTATGGGAAATTATTGCCCGGTTCGATTAATCCAATCGACGAGTCTCTGTCCTTGAAACGCTCCACCCAGATATACGAGGAAGAAATTGACATTTTGCCTGACCAATTTCTAATTAAACTGGAATAACGAAACTAATGGATTGTCAGAAAAATAAATGAGATCGTATGGAGATTGTTTTTATTAAATATTATCTCTCCATCTAGATTATTCTTTCACAAGAGTATAATAGATAGCATATTCTTAAGAATCACAAAATTCCAGCAGATCTATCATTTCTGTTGAAAATTGTTAACAACATAATCGTTTATTGCCTACCTCGTTTAGGAAAAACAAATTTATACGCTCCACCCAGATATATGAGAAAGAAATTGACATTTCTCCTCATCAATCTCTAAAACGTATATATAGTCGAGACTCAACAAACAGGATCGCTAAATTAGCCAACTTATACACTGACAAGGTTGACTTTTTTCCCCGAGCGTACGACCACATCTAAAAACGAAGTTCTTCGGTGTACTTTCAACACATCTTTACATCGTATTACTTTATCCTTTTTCCCTCTTTTTGTCCTGCCATTTATCGTTTAGCAATAGACCGCAAATTTTGGTGCATTTATGGGAAATTCTAAATTTACTGTTTCTAAAAATTGCACTGTACGCAAATAATACCAAAGGATGTATAAAATATCGAAAGTAGTACAGTGCTTTCTATAATAATTGGCTCGTGAATAAATAATTTTCTATCCAGGTTGAAATGAAAACGTGGGTTCGCATAAAAATCCTCAGTCAAATAGTCATTACTTAATCTATAGTTTAAATACTAATTTATTACTAAATATTACTAGTAATTTATTAATAATAAATATTGCAGCTCCTAAACGTTCTCGACGTTTTTTTGAAACGTGATTTCATTGTTGAATCGCGAGTGCAAGAATTCGTAGACAGATCTTCCAAGACTTATTTACGTTAATTGCGTTACAAAGATAATTTGCATTCAATGCAGCTTTGACCGAGGTTCGATTAATCTCGTCAACGAGTTTCCGTTCCTGGAAATGTGAAACGTGGTCATCTGGCCGCGTAATCATGGCAAGCAAATTGCACATGTAACGCTCGTTGTAGGCTAGTGTCGAATAACGTTGATGAAATCAGGCAAAATTCGAAAGAACCAACTCACAGCGATGTAATAAAATACACGAATTGAAAATTCGGTTAAATCCGTCAGTAGAATTTAGTTTTGTTTGCAACAGTTAATGTCGTCGAATAAAATTGAATTAAAGAATAAAATAATTCTGATTTAGCTCGATGCGTGGTAATAACGTCGAATAAAATTGGGATAAAAGAAATCAGCTCAGAGTGATACGGGTAAAATGAAATACGATAATCGTGGGTGCCGATTTGAAAATAGAAACCGAGATGTTAGATCGATCGTTACGATTTTTAATTATCACGACAGCTGTATCATTATCATGCGAGAACAATCATCTGTGACCATTTCGTGTTCGTTTTTGCTAACAAAATCTGTTTGTTGTTTATTTCAGACAGGGGATGGCGTGGGAGTGTCGAGTAGCGGTGGTCGACTCTCGTCACGAAGTCGGACTTCGGAAGAGCCCCACATTGGCAAGTACAAATTACTCAAAACAATTGGCAAGGGTAATTTCGCCAAGGTAAAACTTGCCAAGCACGTGCCTACCGGGAAGGAAGTGGCTATCAAAATTATCGACAAAACTCAACTGAATCCCGGTAGCCTTCAAAAGGTGAGAGGAATGTCTATATGTAGTTGACCCTCGAAAAAGGCGGAGGCTTAGGGACACAGTTACCCCGCGTAGTCGAGAATTCCAGTATAATTTCTACAAGAACTTAATTATCTATAATAACCCGTCGTTGACTGGATTGGCCCTATTTTGCATCCTATGTTTCTTATGTGTTGTTATTTTTAGAATAAAATAAGTTTGAGGAGAGAAAATGTTATTAGGAAAATTATAAAGGAGAAAAAATACATACATACACATATACAGGACGAATCACCTAACTCTGCTCCCTTGAATTACTCGTAAACCATTTATTGTAGAAAACCTGTTTCGAGTTCAAGTTTGTGTGGTATTAACGAAATCGTAATAATTACAAATACAAATGTCGTCTGGAGCTTTTTAAACATAATACATAATGATTGATCTCTCGATTCAAAGGAAAATCTCGAGAGATATTTTGAAAATTGATCATTTTCGATCGTTTTTGTGCATTCAGTATTCATGTTCTTTCGAATTGCGAGATTAAATGTTACATATTACATTTAAAAAGAAATTTATAAATTACATTGCATTCAAGAAATTCAAGAAATTAATTATTATGTTACACGACTTCCTTAATACAATACGACTTTTTGTTTAAGACATTTGTTCATATGACAAATGAGTTTCAAGTATGTAATTTCATTATACACTGATATGTGCCTTTTATTTACGCAAATATGTTATATTTTGTTTCTTTCAAACAGTTCTTCGTTAGCCATCTAATTTATTGAAAAAGTCACAGTCTATTAACAATATCCCTTCGCAAAAACTTTCATAATATTGAGACAGAAAAAGAACTGCATACAATCAAATCCACATTATTCGAGGGTCAACTGTGATTAAATCGTCTGCCGAATAAATCTATTGACACGTCGATGTCGATGTTGTTGCAGTTGTTCCGGGAAGTAAGAATAATGAAGATGCTCGATCATCCAAACATAGTGAAGCTATTCCAAGTGATCGAGACCGACAAAACATTGTACCTGGTAATGGAGTACGCTAGTGGTGGCGAGGTTTTCGACTACTTGGTACTACACGGTAGAATGAAGGAAAAAGAGGCCAGAGCAAAGTTCCGGCAGATTGTCTCTGCCGTGCAATACTGCCATCAAAAAAAGATCATTCACAGGGATTTGAAGGCTGAGAATTTGCTACTCGACAGCGAGATGAACATCAAAATCGCCGATTTCGGTTTCAGCAATGAATTCACTCCGGGCAATAAATTGGATACCTTCTGCGGTTCACCCCCTTATGCAGCGCCTGAACTTTTTCAGGGTATACCGTCATAAATTAACTATTTTTTCTATTGAAGTTTCGAGGCTTACAATCGCTTGAAGTGAAACATGTTTTCAGAGTTGGACAAAATGTGATCTGTGGACTACCGATTTTTATGGCAAAATATTTTATATTTTTGAGAATCAGTAATCAGAAAAAGAGAACCCGAATATAGGATTGTTTCATGTATCAAATATTGTAGAAAGCACTGTATTTTTAATATTTTATATAACATGCATTCTATACACTTTTACAATTTTAGATCTCTCTCAAATACATAAAAATCCATAGTTTACTAATCTAATTAATGTTTGAAGATTACGACTAATGTGAAATGCAAAATCATGATTACTAATTATTAAATAATCAGGACAATCACAATATACAATAAGAGCAATCTATAATTATGACCATTAATTTAAAAATCATTGATCGTGAGATAATTACTCTTTCAGATTATGCTTCATTCAGTATTTTATTTGTATTGTCGTTTTTATGTTCCAAAATACTTTTATGATGAGAACTCTTTTGTGAATTCAAATCATGCAACCTAGATTACACATTCTATATTTGCCAATTATTAAAAACATTATAAAGGATTTTAAGGATTATCGTATCTCATACATTTTTCCGATTTGTAATTTCATTACATAATTAAAAGATTAAAGTTATGTAAAGAATTTTTTGGATATACTCATTGAATGATGTAAATATTGATTAACGATTATTCATAATGGTTTAACTTACAATGATTGATTAATTATCTGATTACGATAATCGATTACAGAAAGGATTACAAAAAAAGTCACTTATTGTCCAACTCTGCTTGTTTTTAAGTTCAAGGCAAAAGGAATCCCTAAAGAAGCTATTGTGTAATACTTGCTTTGTTGTGTAATGCTAGTAAAAAGTCTCAAGAAAAAATTTCTTCTGAACATAATTTTCGTCTGAAAGTTTCAAACTTAATATTTTTACTGTTTTCTTCTCTTTTCGTAAAAAATCAGCGATATCAACGATGTTTGTTCTTTAGGTAAAAAGTACGACGGACCCGAAGTAGACGTCTGGTCGTTGGGAGTAATATTGTACACTTTAGTGTCTGGATCACTGCCCTTCGACGGTTCGACGTTGAGAGAACTGAGGGAACGAGTACTACGAGGGAAATACCGAATACCGTTTTACATGTCTACGGATTGTGAAAACCTGCTGAAAAAGTTTTTGGTGCTCAACCCGACGAAACGGGCCTCCTTAGAGGTAAGCATTTCAGACAAGTAACAGAGACAGCATAAATCTGACGATTTTTCACATGTAATACAATTTTCAAATTCATAATTTTGTAGTAGTTTCTCTTTATTATCAGTACAATGAGAGTCTACTCTGAAAATTTTCTACTATCCTCTGAATCATTTAATCGAGAATCGCTGCTCTTGAAGTGTACTTTATGTTCTTGAGGTAACGCCGTGATCTATGATTATTGTGTAATAAATTCAATCTTAGAAAGGTGGAATAAAAATGTCGTTATATCATGAAACCAAATATCTAGAAAACATTTCATGCAACACTGTCATTATTTTCCCCATGATGTGCGAAGTTTCATTACGTTTTACGATCAATTCCATTATTAATGAAATCGAATCAACTATTTTCCTTGTATTAATTGAAATAAATGACGCTACTCGACCGTAAAAATTCGTCAGATTTCTATGCTCCACTCTGTATAATACATTTTTTGGCACCGTATCATTCGCTGTTTCTATATTTCCAGACTATTATGAAAGACAAATGGATGAACATGGGATATGACGACGACGAACTGAAACCGTACTTAGAACCTGAACCTGATTATAAAGACCACAAGAGGATAGGTGAGTCTGCCAGTATGTACATAACACTTACTATTTATTGTTTCTTCATATAAATAATATAATTGCATGATTTACGACCACCCAGTTGTTACGTTAATTAACGTCGCGTCATATCGTGTAATGCTGAACTTGCTATACAGTTTTGTAAGCGTTGTCTTGTTTTAATGGAGCAACGGTTGGTCGTAATTAAACGATTCTTGAACTTTTCGCGTAAATAGATACGTCAGAGGATCTTACTACGTACGAGCTGACGGTCATTTTAATGTCTACGCCGAACTATGCGCAATAACGATAGTAATAGCGATAGTTCTAGGAACAGCAATTTTAGTAGTACTAACAGTAGTAATAATAGCTATAGTGGCCATAGCATTATCAGTAGTAAGATACGTCTGTGAATGCATTTCTTTTCGCACAGCAAAGCACCGGGCTTCTTTTGAAAATGTTTCTTTTGCATCATGGTTTTGGATTAAAAATACACGTGTACACGTGTACTTGTATAATAGAAATGTATATCCGTCTCTTAATCTGTTTTTAGTTTTTAATACGCGGGTATATATATATATGTGTGTGTGTATGTGTGTACAAAATATACGATATAGATATATTAACAAATTCAAGTTTTGTGTAATTATTGATGTAATAGATATCTCTAGTACGAAGCCGCGAAAAGTCGTAGTGAACGTGTTTCTTGTGTCGTATCGATCGTGTCGTCGTTCTAGTATTTTTAGTGGTTGTGACTATGCCGTTACACCTGTTTGTTTTAGAGGCCCTGGCTAGTATGGGATACACGAGAAGCGAAATAGAAGATTCCTTAGGACAAGCAAAGTACGATGACGTATTCGCCACGTACTTGCTCTTAGGAAGAAAAACAACCGATGTGAGTAGGAGAAGGATCGATTTAGGAACTTGTCGTATAAATGTATGTGAAGTTAACCCATTAAGGGCCAACGTTGCATTTGCAATTATTGTCAAATTCTGTATCTTTAACATTGACATTGTAAAACGAAAATTCTGAAAGTTCTCGATATTACTGTGCTCCATCTATATGGTCTTACAAAATTTCAAAAAATTCCAACATTTACAATACTGTGCTAAATTATTTCTTGGTCCTTAATGGTTCGAGGTGATGGACGAGAAAATATAAATTAAAATGATCGGTTGAAATATAAATTAAAATGATCGTAGCCTGAATCCGATGGTTCGCGGTCAGGCAGTTCACTGTCGCTGCGCAACATTCCACCGCAAGCTGGTTCTGGTGGCGGCGGAGGAGGCGGTGGAGGTGGAGGAAGCGGTGGAGGCACAGGTGGAGCTGTGCAGAGTCCATCGCATAGGGGTGTTCATAGAAGTATTTCCGCTAGCAATCCAAAACCAAGCAGACGAGTTTCGTCCGGTCTCGAAACGCTTCGTAAGTGAATACTGTCTAGTCAATCAAATCTCACGTTCGAGTACAGATTACTAATAAATTTACGTTCGTAAACTTATTAATAATTTACGTCAATCCTAATTGAATGTATCCTTTAATACTGTACCTATTCTCTGCTGCACTTGGATAAAAAGGAAGTAAATCTGTTAGTAACCAGATCGATATCTTATAGGTATTATTATTTATAAGAAGTATCGATTGAAATTTTAGGTATCTACTATCAATTTTTGATACTGATAAATCTTGAATCAATATTAAATCGAAAAGTACTTACACCCGTTTGATACCTCCGCTAATGTATTGATACTTCAACATACATTTCGATATTCGTGTAATACATGAATACCTATTGATATTAAATTAAGCAGTCAATTAAACATAGTGATGTAAAGGTGATCACGATATCTTTATGTAAATATGAAGCGAATATCGAATATACTTTCTTGAGATATCAAGTGAGAATATTGATATTTTCATAGAAGTATCAAGCTGGTGTCAATTATTTTTGATACTTTGGATGTAATGTTCGATTGACATTGTCATGATTCAGTATCGGTCGTTGAAATCTATCAATTGATTAAGAGATCGTTAAGAGACTATGTATGTTAGGCGACATCTGATTTAAACCGGTCTGTGTTTCAGTGAGGATTTTCAGAGATTCCTGTGCTAAAGGATTAACAATTACCAGGATATTCATAGAAAAACGATTAAACGAATGTTTTTACATGCGTACGTATCTTGTCCTATTCTTGTTTTGTAAACGATTTTTATTTCATTAGGAGCAGCACCGAGTCCAGGAAATGCAACGAACCATAATCACGCGACTGCTACGACTGGTGGAACAGTGACTGGAAGCAGTGGTAGTAATTTTAAGAGACAAAATACCGTGGATGCGGCCACGATCAAGGAGAACACTGCTCGTGTTTCAGCGAGTCGACCTTCGGCTCCTAAAAACAGCCCTGGCCAATTAGATACCAGTGAGTTTTTTTCGTTATCCTGTGACTTTTACCACCGCAATCCAACCGATATTTGTGCAATTGTTTTTTTTTTTTGCGTCGCTATACTTTTGTAAAGCTTTTGCAAAAGTACTTATCTACATCCGCTTTGGATAAGGTAATTCATGCCCTAATCCAACGTTAAATTAATTCGTTAATATTTTCGTTCCTCTTTTTTATCCTAACTCTTTCCTCGTTTTTTTTTTTTTTTTTTTTTTTTAATGTAACGTTACGTATATATATTTCTCATTTATAAACGGTACAGGAACGTATCGGTGCTATACGCTAACTGTAGATCGCTGTAATCCTAGAGAGGGTAATGAAGTCATCGTGTACATTGATAGTAATCACATTTTTTTCAACGTCTATATTACTTAACGTGATGAAGATACCATTACGAACTATTAATCTAGAGTTAAAAAGTTACGACCGTACATGTATATAACTTGAGCATAGCATCTGCTTTCTCTTTAATCCTTACCCTTATACAGAATTTACCACGCGTTTGCCATTTCAATAAATGATTAGAGAACGTTCTAAAAGATTTTGGTTAATAGACGGAAGCAGATGAGACGTTGCACACGGTCGTTTTACACGGTTTAACACACGGAAATGTGTATACACCTCGGCCAATTTTATTTGTATTCGTTGCGTTGCTTGTTTATCATTTAGTAAAGTACGCTGCTTTGTTTTGTGTTGAACTATATCTAATGAGGCTTGCAGTGACAATGTTCATTCTAGGCGTGGGTACAAGTCCTGGTGGTAGGGCATGGGCAGGCAAGAGCAACACGATGAATACAGGGGTAGGTGGTGGTCGGCCTCTTACCTCACCTGCCCCTGGTTCTGTTGGTCGACGAAGTACCATCTCCTATGATCAAGCGAAAACGTCCTCCTCATCTACCGAAAGAACCAACGACGCACCCAGGTATAGTGATATCCAGTTGTTTATCAGATTTATCGTATTATTAAAAAAATATCTTTTTCTTTTTTCTCTTGCGACGAATTGAAAGACGAAGGAATATATAGCGCAGCTTCAACGAAAAGTGGACGCTGGATCCGTACGATCGTTGTGCAATAATTAAACTGCGGATTTTTATGATATATATATATATTTAATATAATATATTTTTTATTTTTATAACTTTATATTTTGAAGAGGATAATCAACAAGTTCGCCATGCCATGTATCATATGCGATGTTGCATCGTAACATATCTTTTGACGTACACATACGATCAATATTGAATGAATTTTATTTGTATAATTATAATTATATTTATACAAATTATAATTTATTATAAATAACATTATAATTATAGTTATATAAATAAAATCCATACGTCATAAAATGCAATACGTGTAGGAGGAACGACAAAGTCTGGACAGTGAATATATTTAAAAAATAGAATTTCGATAGAAAATTGTTTTACATACTCAGTGTTATAGAAGGTATTATACTTTGGATGTTTCAAGTATTTTTCATTATGCGTACATTTGTGTACACCTTCAAATTTCCTGTAAACGCATAAAAATCCGCAGTGTAATAATGTTCTTCCTGCGTTCAATTTCAGTGTTATAAAGCTGGAATTAGTTGCCCGACGAATATTCGAAATATATATGGTCCAGTATCTACCATCGATCGAACACAAATAAATTTCGCTAACGCGCAGCCCGTGTTAATCGTATATACGTTACAGTATTCCGTTGTTGTTGACTAAACAGTAAAGTTTTCTTTGTACTAACCACATAATAGGTGATTAACTCTTACTTTAACAAACAGCCTGGAAATATTGGACGATCGATAACAAAAAAAAAAAAAAAAAGAAAGAAAATCTGTCATAATAAGCCCTAGGGAGTTTCTTTGTTTGTTGCGTTGCTCTAGCATGTTGGCTGCTGCCTGCCAATCGTTCATTGCAGATCACTTTCTTTATGGCTTGACAGATCTACCGAACAGATAGTCTAATTCAAACGTGTATACATATACAAGTGCTTGCTAAAATGATACCGAATCACAGTTACATTCACATGTCTCTTTACTCTGTTTTTTACCAGCGTATGTCTAGATTTACCAGCGTGTGTGTATAAAAACAGCCATTAACATCATCATACATACGTCACTATTTATGTTTTAGCGTCACATTCCGTTCCTCTTGCCGTAGAAATTCTCGCGTGCTAAATGTCATTGGCAACACGAGATAGAACTTTCATTATATCATCCGCCCCATAACTTCAACCTACCCTATCATACCCATAGCACACCCTGTTCCTCTAGTTTTCAGTGAATTCGATCGCGTCCTATAGAATATATATCTACATATGTACGTGTGTAGTACGATCAGCGTAGATGTTTAAACACGTGGAACAACATTCACCATCGAGTCATTCTATTCCAGAATCATGGCTCAGTCTTCTGATGGGCTGTAAATTGTTTCAATAATTCATTTTAATAATCGTTCTTTTAGCATTATGTTTGTTTGAAGGAAGTCCCAAGAAATAGATTGTAACAAACTAGACTTTTGACCATCAGTGTTTTCAACCGAGAATTTATCCGCACTAGATTAATACATCTTTCCTTTAAAAAAGTTAAATTGTAATTTTTAATAATATTAATTCAGAGTGAAACTAATCCCTGGTCAGCAACATTATCAGTTTCGTTTCAGTTTTTGCTAATATCTCGAGAACTAAGAGAACTCGACATACGCAAGAAGAAGTTCTTTAAAAAGTTTCCTGCAATACATTTAAAATTCAAGGAAATTTGGCAATTCAAATGATTACCAAAATCTCTCCTTTACAACTTTTTTCTTAGGGCTTTCTGTAAACAAACAATAATTGTTACAATACTAGAGAATTGATTAACTTCATAGATGATGCGATGATTCGGAATAATTTACTCCATTCCCCTCTGTGCCGTCCCTTTCTTTTTCTCCCAACTTTTCGAACAGTTTACAATGAAAAAAGAGTTACGTTGAAGCAACAAGGAAACATATCACGAAGAAATTCGAATGTAAAATATATGACAACCTAGAAATCGTATAAAAGAAAGAAAGAGAGTAAAGTAAAAGGGAGGAAGGAGAAGAAGAAGAAAAAGAAAGGCTAAAGTAGGGAAAAAGAAAAAGAAGTTTGAAGGGAAGGAAAAGTTAAAGATCTACGTGAATAGCTATAGAAATCGTAGAAAAAGTAGGGCCGGGCAGTTTGCTGATTAGTTTTGTACACAGCCTTGGCGAGGGCACTAGACCAACGCGGGGTCACACCAAGTCTGCGAGCATCAGCGCAGGTCACCGTTCCTCGAGTGGCGTACCCCCCAGCGACCATTCACTACTGGACCCTCAACCACGCAACGCCCACAACTCCTTACTCGCCACTGCTGACCCTCTTAGACAGAGGTACAGATCCTCAGAGCCTTATCAGCCAACCTGTATACAGTCCTCTATTAGATATGCGACAAAAGTCTAACGTACGCTCTACCGATGACCAATTATCTAATTACGCGCGTCTTCGCATCGCTTGAACCCATCAAGGGCCAACGTTGTAACGCAACATTTCATTTGCAATTCTCTCTCTCGGTCACTTTTCTATTACCAGATTTTTCATTTTTGATGTTAGGAAAATTACTGCGGAAAGACACATCTCAAAGATTCGCTTAATATTATTCTTTCATCGTTGTGTTTTCCACCTAAATATTATAGTTTCAAGAAACTCTCAGGAGGAGTATTTATAATGTTCTAATAGATATTTAGTCCTTAATGGGTCAAATCATCGCGCGTCTCGCTCGAAAGATTCGATCGGCGATCGATCGCGGTCGTCGAACTTGCTCTCCATCCGCTGATTTCAACAACAGCTCGGTAGAATTCTACGCTAGACTATTGGAGCAGCCTGCAAAACTGCGAACGATATTCGAGTATACATTTCTTTTTTTTTTTCACCCGTTCATTTATTTACTTCCTCTTCTTTTTTTTGGGCCACTAACTCTCTTAGGGTTCTACAAAAAAAAAAGAAAAAGAACTAGAATTTGTTTCGTGCGTTCGTGCTGCGAAAGAAACGTAACAAAAAGGTTGCACAACGCGTTGCTCACGACGCGAATTATTCACGTAGGTTCTCTAGGACAGTTTCTGGTCATTTATACTCGTTATAATCCCCCCTTCGTTTTATCTGACTTTTGTTTCTAATTTGCATGAACATACCACGTTGTTAGTTTTCTATTCCGATCATCGGCTTCTCATTTTATATATCTGGTCATCGGTTTTCACATTTAGCCTCAGCTACCCTGTTTCTCGCACATAGTTCTCCGCTACGATTTTACAATCACCGTGTTCACACACGTCAGACAGGCAAACGTCATGCTGCATTGTTCGCCTCCAACTTGTTTTTTGTCTTTTGCTCCAGATTAGCGGAAAACCATGATATATATACAATTTTGTATGTTATTCACGAAACGGTTTAACGTTGACGCCTCGTCGATGCGACAATAATTTGCGTGTGCCTTGTATTCGCGTATTCTTTCCAAAGCGATAGCAAATACCTCGACAAATGAAGAATTTCGCAACGTGACGATCGTAATCATATCCACGTACAATCATCGCGATATCGCCATCCTATCAATTGGTTATCATCTTGAACGAAATTTTCCGTGCATCGTGTGCATACACGCTACACAAAACACACACACACACATGCACGCAAGCACGCACGTCCGTAAGTCATTAGACACTTGTTCATTAATACAATTAATACAATTCTCTCGCATGATTTTGTTATATTTATATAGTTTATAGCAAATCTTTTAATTTTCAACAAAATTAACATACGTAATATCACGAAATATATCGATTGACTAGTCGAAATTTGAAGTCGTCGATGCAAAGAGACGAGTTTTTTTTTTTTTTTTTTTTTTTTTTTTTAAGAAAACCAAGTGATTGTATTACATCAACTATAAAACGTGGGAGTCACTTGGTGAAAATTTCAGAAATTTAAAACAAGGAAGGACAGTGCTATATTATTATATTCATGCAGTGCATTAGATAGAGAAAAGATATAATTATTATGAGATGTTAATTAAATACGTTCCCTAATACGGTACAACTAGAATACATAAAATTACCCATACATAAATTTATCAAAGCATTTCGCATATTTTTTTTTGTCCACATACTTTTGACCAACAATGTACACACGTACATGCACATACACACGCACACGCAAATGTCGATGCTCGATCCCCAAAATCGAGTCCATTCTTTCTCCTTCAATGTACGAATTGAATCGTGTGCACCGATAGAGTTAATTCGAAGGGGCAAATTATCTCGAAACAATATATCGTACGTGCAATTGCATACGCAAATAAAACGCAAACTGTTTCAGTACATTCTATACTCGCCAATCATTTAACTCTCATTAGATGAACCAAACTAATTCTGTATTGAAATTCCGCTTTCTTAGCTCAGACACTGTCGAAGCTTGTTTTGCAAGACATAGAAATAATCGCTTGCGCATTATCTACTTTTACCAATCGTCCCTCGAACCTCACCGGAAGAATATCGCGTGAAAAGTGAATATTTTATTTTTACATCCTACTTTTATTTTGCATCCTGTCTTCTGCTTCTTTTTTACGTAAGGAAACATGTTCAAAAAAAAAAAAAAAAAAATAGAAAGAAACGAAAGCGAGATCGAGTCGTTTGTATCGTTTAAATGCACAAATCTCTAGCGAAGAATCGACACGGGCGCAAAGCAAACATTATTTATATGTATATACATATAAGTACACACATGTATATACGTATGTGCACTGATAGACACACGCGTGTTATACGACAGTTTTGAAATTAATGCTAAAAGAACGATCTTTTTCCAATCAGTTTGGGTGTATCACCAAGCAATAGACTGGCAACACCTACAACACCAGCATTTCCGAGAAATGTTCCAAGTCGTAGTACGTTCCACTCTGGCCAGAATAGAGCTCAGCGAAATCATACTCAGGTTCGTAAATTTTGATATTTTTTCGTAATATCGTAATATCGAGTTTCCCGAAAGTTTAATTTTAAAGCGCTAACTTTAAAGTTTTTCCTGTCGTTGATTGTAATTGCATTAACAAGGGAAGATTTTATTATAAAACAGATACTGAGGAAATTCGTAATAAAAATATGACACTTCAACTTAAATTTGAAAAAGAAGAATATCGTACAAATACATACTTTAGTATCACTTAAACTTCTCTGAAAATGTAAATTTAGCATTTAAGTGACTTTTTCATTCGTAAATTATTTTAAAGAAATCTATAGACGAAGAAATTATAATAGCTTCGTTCTAAGACTTCTGAAATTCTAAAATTAATAGTTGCTACGAATTTAAGATGCTGAAACAAAATAGCATACTACTGATACCATAAATATTTGACCATCTTCATTTTATGCACCAATCTAGACATGTAAGCAACACAAAGAAGATCTATGGTTTGATTTAGTACCTTACGTGTATTATAATTGCTCACGAAAGTGAAACAGTCATAGGAAGTTCTTATAAATATATTATAGATGTTATGTAAAACATTTTAATATTTCAAGTTTGAAACAAATTTAAATATATGGACATATATAAAAAGTGTTTAAATAACCACAATCCATTATATCAATAAATATTCAATGCATTTAATACTCATTATATACTTGAGACTATTCGTGCAGTAATTTTTTTATCAAATGTATGATTGCAATAAATATCGTGTAGCTTTCACGCATACTCTCAGATTGATTTCAAATTGTACAAATATAATCACACTTTCGTATTACAATATTAATACAATTTCAAAACGTAGTATATGTGTAACTGTTATTTTATGACAAACTTTCGTGAGCCATTGTAAACGTTTGCAAGTCAACTACTCGTTTCTGCCCATTTACCACGTATCTTTAACATTACCTGTGTACATTTGTATTCTATGAACTTTCTAGGGTCATACGCATACACAGGACACAAATGCAATTAGCCCATTAGCGAGACCGTCCTTCTTCTCCAAGTTATCCTCGAGGTTCTCCAAACGGTAAGTTCTCTCGACTGGTTATATGTACATCGAGCAAACGGTTTCTCGTATTCGACAGCATGCTAGTACATGTACCACTGTAAAGTACCACCGTTCGTCCACAAACTATATCTCTAAGCCTCTTTAGCTTGCGATCGAAGTTCGGCCAAGTGTCTAATCGTAACAATTCGAATGGACGACAATCGATCAACCTTGTACGATAAACGATAAAATTCTTTTCGGAAGTGCAAATCTCCGACCGGTATCGTTAACACCGAACGTGAAAATCGCGGTTTTGAGCCACACTTGTCTGAGAAACCACACCCTTTCTTCGAAAAGCTAGAGTAGAAGTAAAAAAATACGAAAGTTAAAAAAAAAAAAAAAAAGAAAAGAGTGAAAGAAAAAGAGAGAAAGGAAGAAGAAACGGATGCAGAAGAAGAAGAAAAAAAAAGAACTAGGAAAAGAAAGAGACGAAAGGGGAGAAAGTGGTGTACGAGATACGTTTCGAATCCAATTCGCGTAACAGGCGTGCATTTAATAAGTACATCATTTATTGCAAACCCGGCTGTCCAGTTATTAAGACACACAACACACATCGCGCAAAGAAACGATTGAGAACACAACAGCTTTTGCAGTGGGCCTTCGATGCATGCGTAGAAATTATTAATTCCCCCGTAAAACGAACGATTTTTTGAACTTGTACTTATATATTTATATATGCTCTGCAATAGTTTTCAACGAGTCGAACCTATCGTTTTGCATGTGATATGATATTTCTGTTTTTAAGGATGCACAATGACTATGTAATTCTAAAAAAAAAAGAAGAAAAAAATTTAAAAAAAGAAACGTTTTCTACCGATACGTCTCAAGTATCGCATTTTACGTAACATTTTTCTACAAGTGTATATATATATACATATATACATACACATATATATATACGTAATATACTGCAAAAACGATATACAGTACGATCGATTAGTAACCCGATGAGCGAGCAGCGACCATTATCAGTGAAAGCCACGAAAAACGTAGCTTGTTCACAAATATATCTCGTAGTTGTATTTGTTTCTACGCCGTTTTCGCCGTTTCTTTATCCCGTAAGCATCTGCTTCTCAGGTTTCAATTGCACCCTTTTTAGTTGGACTCTTTTAATTGACCGATCTCGTTACACACCTATACATACATACGGACACGTACACGTACACTTCTCTCTCTCTCTCTCTCTCTCTCTCTCTCTCTCTATTATCTATCATCTATCTAACTACTTTCTTGACTGTTCTGAATCTCACCTGTCTTTATCTATTTTCCACTTTTCCACCGATTCCTGCCTTACTTCCCTACATATAAGAATAATGATTCATTACCGAGAAAGAAAGCATAAAGATATCGAAGTATATATTCGTCATCCATTCTGTGTCCTTCATAGCGAGCGTACCGTTATCGTATCTGCTTAATGTTCGATTGTTCCTATTTGTAAAAAAAAAAAAAAAAAAGATAATGAAAAAAATAAAATAAAAAAAAAAAAAGAACACAACCCTGAGAATTCATCAGATGAAAGTAACTACCAGCTTGGCCAGCTCGAGTTCAGGCCACCTCGCATACTCATTGTGCATCCCTTTTTTTGACTCGACTGTAGCGAGGCATATCCTTGACTTAGTACTTTACCTTATACTTTGTATATGGGAACCTTTGATTTTTGTCGCATACAGCAATCGTTTACCAATAATCCGAGAATACTAAAACCGGACAACCAGAGCGTGTTGCTATATACTGAACGCGTAGACTAGAGTAGAGTAGAGGGATAAAGCGTAGGCGATAGAACGGTTTCGAAGCGAGGACGCAAGGCCACAGAATAACGAGAGCAATCCAGAGCCTGTTCGTCTCCGCCGTCTCAGCATCTTTTTTTCTACTTTCACGATATGGTCACTGTACGCATCGTCGATGTACCGTATACTACTATAGACGCAACTGTTTCGATCAAAAGCTCGAAAAATCTCGGTCCAATTGTTGCCGACACAGCATAGCCATTGGTGCATCGCTCAAAATTCCCAAAACACGTTGGATTAATGTTATACCGGTGTATTCTATGCTACAGGACATGAGCCCGATGTAAAGCTTGACGCATCGCTCGAGCTTCGTCGAGAACGATGGCCATAGAGACGCGCGATACTTAACCGGCCGAGATGCGCCCGGGTGAAACTTTGCGCAAACGCAGCGAACTCCAGCACACGCAAGCGACCATAACGCGTCGCATTCTATTGACCTGGATATACACACTGGTGTACAGCATCCGTGTTTACCGGCTCGAGAGCATCCAGCGCGAACGAAATGAAAAGAACGAGGCAGTACGAAGTGGAATGAAAAAGAAAAGAAAAGAGAAACGAAAAAGAGGAAAGGGGGAAGAGTAACGAAAAGAAGAGAAAATGAAGTGACATGCCCCCGCGTCTCTCGCTCCGTTATTCTGTGGTGTATCGTCAAGCTTTTCAGACGTCGACAGATACTCGTCGTTAGTTTTTGAAAAA